ATTCCATAAGAAACTACAATTCTTGAAAGCAAGAATCAAGGAGTAGAACTTGATGGAGTTTGGGAGGATAGAAGAAAGAAAGGGAGATCTAATGGATAAGATTGAAAGCCTTGACTCTAAAGAAGAAAGGGGAGAATTTGGAGAGGAARACAATGATCTCAGGAGAGATTTGAGAAGACAGCTAGAGGATTGTCTGCACAAGGAGGAAATTAGTTGGAGGCAAAAATCTCGGTGTAAGTGGTTGCAAGAGGGAGATAGAAACACTAGGTATTTCCATTCTTTAGCAGATGGCAGGAGAAGAAAGAACTTTATCTCCAAATTGGTAGTAGATGGAGTTGAGTTAGTACAACAAGAGGAGATTTCCAGGGCCGGTGTGGAGCACTTCAAATCTATTCTAAGAAGGCATGTGAGTAGAAGGGTGTGGGTAGAAGGTTTGGAYTGGCCAGATGTAGGGGTGGAGAACAGGAGAAGGTTGGAAAGAAGCTTTACTCTAGAAGATATCAAGGAGGTTGTGTTTTCTACGGATAGAACAAAAGCTCCAAGGCCGGATGGGTTCACAATCGCTTTTTATCAGGACTGTTGGGATATCTTGAAAGATGATCTCTTGCGGGTGTTTGAGGAGTTTTTCAGGAGAGGAATTGTCAATTCGGGTGCGAACTCTACATTTATAGCCTTAATTCCAAACAAGAAAGATACATCCCACCCGAGGAATTTTAGGCCAATTAGCTTGGTTAATAGCTTGTATAAGATCATTGCAAAAGTGTTGTCTTTGAGGTTGAAGAAGGTACTGCCCGATATCATTGCACACTATCAAGGAGCCTTTGTGAGTGGAAGACAAATTACTGATCAGATTTTAATTGCTAAAGAGAGTGTGGAGAACTTTAAGAGGGATAAGAAGAAGGGAGTGGTCTATAAGTTGGACTTGGAAAAGGCTTATGACTTGGTGGGCTGGGATTTCTTGAGGGAAAGTATTGACTAAATTTGGGTTTGGGGCTAGATGGTGAAAGTGGATCATGGGTTGTGTCCGGAATTGTCATTATTCAGTGCTAGTGAATGGGACAGTGGTAGATTTCTTTCCAGCCAGTAAGGGTATAAGACAAGGAGACCCCTTGTCTCCTTTCTTGTTCATTCTAATTGCGGAGGTATTGGGGAAACCGATTCACATAGCAGATTCTAGGGGGCTCATTAGAGGCTGGAGAGTTGGGAGGGTGGAAACCCGCCTCACTCACTTACAGTTTGCTGATGACAAGATTCTATTTTGTGAAGGTGGTAATGTGAGTTTTATCAGGAACTTGAAGTTGGTGATACAAGTGTTTGAGCAAATGTCTAACTTGAAGGTTAACCTTGGGAAAAGTTGTGTAGTGGGGATAAACTTGGAGGAGGGAGAGATCAGGGAGAGTGCTGAAGTGTTGGGGTGTGAAGTTTCGGGGTGGCCTTTGAACTACTTGGGGTTGCCATTAGGTGATAATCCCATGAGAGAGAGCTTTTGGAACCCAATGGTGGAAAGGTTTGAAAAAAGACCGGTATCCTGAAAAAAGAACTACCTCTCTCTCGGTGRGAGAATTACACTAATTAAGGCCACGCTTGCTAACTTACCCAACTTTTTCCTGTCGGTGTTTAAAATCCCAGTGAAGGTTGCTAACAGATTAGGAAGCTAATGAGAGATTTCCTATGGGAGCCAGGAGAGGAGAAGAGGGATCACAGAGTTAGCTGGGAGATAGTATGTAGGAGTAAGTCTTGTTGTAGAGTGGGGCTTGGGAGTATCAAGAGAAGGAATATGACTCTGTTGGGGAAGTGGTTGTGGAGGTTCCCCATGGAGAAGGAGAAGTTATGGGCTAGAATAGTGGCAAGTATACATGGGCTGGAGCACAATGGATGGGATGCTGGAATCAGAGCTAGGACCACAAGCAATTCTCCTTGGAAAGCCATTCATGACCTGACCAAATTTCTCCCCTAATATCAGGTATAACTTGAATTCCGATAACT